GCCGCCCCAAGGACTTGTAACGTTGTGCAGGTCGATGGCTATTACCCTGCCCATGATGATCTGTGGTCGACAAGCGATGCCCAAGACTGTAGTTTTCGACCGCACTGGCGGGGACACGCCCAAGACGGATGAGCCTAAGACAGATGAGCCCCAGCCGAATACTGCCGAGGGGCGACGCATGCGACGACGTAAATTGTTTGACAATCAACAGCGAGATGACGAGCTCGCAGCCAGTACAATCGTAGCGACTTGGAACAAGCATCAATACATTGGAGCGACTTACCCCACCCTACGAAGAATATTGTTTCGCCAAGGACGATGGCAGGCGGCAACCGCGGCAGTCGCATCGAACGAGCAGAATCCTGCCGCCCCGTTGCCAAGAGCAGAGATGGACAAGAAAAATGCCCTCTACCAACGTCGATCGCCTGGCTGCCGCATGATGATAAATTAATTCATCGTCGGGACCGAGCACGGTGATTTCTGCAGGCATTTTGGACGTTGCAGGTTGTTGCTTTCATCAAAGTTATGAGAAGTGTAGCTGAGAGCAGCGTGCCCTTTTCTGACAGATAGCCTTCACCCAATCCATGTAAAGATGCCACATAATTGAAGCATAGTGACTGGCGCGGCAATGAGAGACTTTAGGAGCGGCCAACAGCAGGAAAAACATATGTCGAGGGGAACAGTCCTATAGAAATGGATTAGCACTGGAGGCTAGTCGAATGTCGTCCGAGATTCGGCTGCCTGCATATCGCGGATGTCACCTGAGCTGGCATAGATGGAGATGGAAATCACCCCTCATCTTGCGCCCGCGACTCTTTCGTTCTTCGAGTTCTCAAGTCAGCTTGAAGACAATGGCCTACTGCCAACTTTGCGACAAGCCCTTCGTCTCTCAAAGAGCGCTACAGCAGCATCAAGACACACTTCTTCCAGACATGCGTACTGCCGGCGATGCAACAGAAACTTGGCCCATCCTGACGCTCTCCGTCAACATCTGAGAAATTCCCCGAGACACCATGAATGCCAAGAGTGTGACAACGGGGTTGACTACCCCAGTAAAGAAGACTTAAACGACCATTTGGAGCGCGTCCATTTCACGTGCGGGCCTTGCAACGCAAGGTTTGCGAGCCAGGGGCAGCTTCAGGAGCACAACGTCGATGATCATAATTTGTGCATACAGCGCTCAGAATACTTCGACAGCCTATCCAATCTTAAGCATGTATGGTCAATTTGAGGCCGTTGCACGAAGAGCTGCTAACCTCTCCAGCACCAACAATCGCACCTACCGAGGATCATTGAATGCATTGGATTCAATCGAAAGTTTACCAGAAAATCACACATGATATTGCACATGGAGAATGGCGGCTGCGAGTTAGCTGTCGATTGTGACTCTATCACAAGACTAGCGTTTGAATGCGACTCATCCGATTGGTATGAGTGCTCCACGGAGGACTACAACTTCGAATGTCCGACATGCGAAACTCCATTTTAGAACGTTAGTGGACTCTTGCAACATGCCGAAAGCGACGCATGTCAAGTGTCCATGAAGAAAGGGGCGCCTTTATTCAGGCTTCTTAGGTTTCTGCGTTCCCGATTGTGAGTATGTAGGAATGGCGGGCGGCCTCAACAAACCGATACACTCTCATCCTTCGGTACGGCTTATTTATGAAACAGAGCTTCAGTTCTTAACAATTATTGCTTTTGACCGGGTTGCCTGTTAATTCGGAGTTTATGCATCTTCTCTCCTTGTTTTCCATTTTTATTATAGTCACGGCGGATCCGGCGCCGTGGAGTTTCACGGGTGTGGCCGACAACAAAATAATCGCAACGATGACAGCAGGCGGCTCTATTAGAGTGTAGGCATAGGCCGCATTATCATGGCCTTTCTTTGTGCAACAGATCAAGGGCACATTCTACTCCGAACTTGTACAGCCCAGAAAAAGTACAGCACCCGCAGTTCACTAGTTGTCACCAGCCCAACTACTGACTACTCAGGCGCTCGAGTGGTTATCTCTCGGAGGAACGGGTTGCAAATTTTATCACTCAGCTATGGCCGTACATGAGAGAAGTCAGACAAAGATGGTCCAACGATAAGTCTCGGAAGGAAAGCGGATGAGGACCCGATGCTACAATGCCAAGAGGCAAAATTGAGCCTTGCGAGGTTCGGTTTGGTAATCTAAGGTTTCGCTGGGCCTGCTGGGGTTGAGCCTGGTCGTGATGGGGCAAGCCATCTGCGTTGCGGCTCGGGGCTTTTCCTTTTGGCCTGCACGGCACCATCATCACTACCTCATCCCAAGCATATTGCTGGCTGAAGACAGACGAAATCGGGGCTCTCGCTCCATGGGCTGCCCACTCGGCACTCTGTCTGATGTCGTACCACTTGCGTTAGGTCAGGGCTTTTTCACCTCTAACGACTGCACTCGCATCGAACGATCGCACTCACCTTGAACGACTACATTCACCTCAAACATTGCATTCACCTCGAAAGACTGCACCCGAAAGTCATGGCAGCAGGCTCATATACAAATTCCATCATCGTAGATTATGACGAAGTTTGAAACGGGGCTTGCGCACGGACGATGTTACAGCCGGTCAGCTATCTATCATGGTATTTTGCGTAAACGCCAGCAGAGGCTGTTGTACAGTTTTGTGGGTTTGTTCTGGCTAGAGGTACGCCATCGAGGACCGGAGACAAAAGTCAGAGAGGTGCTTCAAAGGCAGTGAATAATTTCTAGCACGACAAAAGCACGCCGTGAAGGGAACAGTGCAAAGCCGACGCCATTCATAGAAGTTTCGTGCAACAAGATATCTAGGCTAGCCCAAACAAAGCTGGCGCGACCGGTGTCGTCCCCGAAAAGCCTACTGCAGCTGCGACGAAGCCCACGGTTGCCGCCAGTCGTGCGAAAGTCGCACCATGTGCTACGAATGCGATGAAAACTGCTGAATTGGATCGCTTTGCACCAACAGTCTGGCCACTCAAGAAGGGAGCCGGTGTGAGTGCTTCGGGCTCTTCGTCAACGAGGCGATTGAGAGTGACCGTTTCGTGGCGCAATACACAGGCAAGATGATCACCATGAGAGAGTGCTGGAGGCGCTACTGCTCAATATACGAGAATCGCCAGTATCAACTAACAAGTGCCTGCGTGACACAATGCACGTGCCAACACCTCCTGGCTGGCCAACCCCGCCTTCAAGCACCAACGCAATCCTTTTCTCGTCTTTCGCAGCTACCAATACACATGTCACCATGGCTAGTCTAAACCTTAAAGTCTCGATGTTGTCTTTACATCTATGGTTACAGAGACGATTGTTTCTTGCCTTACACTAACGGACCTTATCGCTGTGCAGGGGTCTATCGATCGCTCCGTGAGTATATGCAGAGCCAGCCAGGATACCGATTGGATATCAACATTTTCCTAAAAGTCTTCATAGCAAATAAGAAACATTTCAGGTGCGAGCTTGGCAGAGCAGATGGCTTTATCATTCGCGATTCGGCTTTAAACTTCCTAGAGAATCAACATAGGCAGTTTAAGCAACTCGACCTACTGGTGGAAACTGGGCGAAAAGCAGACACTCTCATAAACTACCTGTGTGTCGAGGAGTGATACTTTACCTTGCCAAAGCCCCCACAAACTCTACAGCTTCATGGTAGTGCAGCCGTCTTATCAAAACGTACCATCAAACTAGGCAAAATGTCGTCCAAGGAGATACATGTCAAGACTACAACTAGCTTCCCTATCCACACGCTGCTTTGCAACTGAGACCAAATTGGATTCGCTTTTTACGGCAGCAACACTTACGAAACACTATAAAATCATGTTGCACGAAATAGATGATGACTGTGGCAGTCGTCTTACAGAGTTTGCTCATCAAGGCTGGACGACGCGTGACATGATATGGCTTAAATTAGCGGCGCAGGAACCGCGAGGTGTTGGATCACGACGAGTAGGAGACGCATGCTCTGTGTAATCTCAGTTACACCGCATATCGACTCAGCGGAATTGACGCCTGACTTCGTCGTCGAGCACGCTGCGTTTGATGTATTGACGGAGGAAACAATGGTGATTAAAAGGAGGTCCGTCTCCCAACCAAAGGAAATGTCTTTTTATGTACGGCAGCTGGAATCACTGGCGCTTCGCCACTATTTCACTGTGCAGTATCGAGTCTCCGTGTCCAGCAGCTGCAGCGTTGTGAAGTAGCGTGTTACCCCGGTTGCCTTTGATTCGCACATCAGCCCCTCTCTCGATGAGTAGTCTGGTTATGTCCGGCTCATTCGCCGTCATTGCATAGTGCAGTGCCGTCCGGCCGTAGTTGTCGCTTGCATCCTCGTCGGCGCCAGCGTCAAGCAGCAACCGCACCGTGCCGAGGCATCTCGACTCAGCGCTCCGAATGGTGCCGCCAGTGCAGTAGGACGCCGCCAAACTGGCCATTCGGTGCGTTCGGCTTCGCCACACTGAACGGCAAATTTCTTTACTTCGGCCGTGCTAAACTACCAGTCCGTTTGCTTGCCACCTCACTAAACTGGCCGTGCGCCTAAGCTTTGCGAACCACCACTAGCAAAGCTGGCACCTTCGACGTTTTGGACATGGCTTTTCACGACGCCAATGCGTCGTGCGACAAATCATTTGATGAAATGCTACCTTCATTTCGAACCGCTGTGCGACCCCTAGAAGAAACTGTGGAAATACGCAGCACCGGTAAGTTGTCTCGTGGCGTGCATGCAATCACTGATCAAGGATGAGCACTGCTAACGTATTAATAGAGTCAGTGATAGCGAGCGAACGTGAATCTTCGGGGATGAGCGTGAGCCATCTCATGGTCCGTCTTCTTCTACACTACTTGACCGTAGCTGAATAAATCACAGCGCCGGATTTTCGTTGGCTATCCCGACGGACTGCGTAACGGAATTTCCATCATCGACCTCTCGAATTCGGAGTCCCACAGCCTCAACGCCTGCGTTCTCGCAATTGAATAGCCTATCGCCTGAATCGCAAGTCTGGGGCACCGTTTCTACGCAAACAAGAGCTCAAAAAATTGTCAACAAAACGAAAAAGCTGGTGAACTGATGAGCTGGGCGTCAGGAGACCCGTCAGGCCAATGCACCCAAAATTGAATTTCATGCGCGGGTAGATTACTTCCATGACGGATCAGATGGTAAAACGTGGTGGCGAAGACGCTGGAGAAAGTAGCTCTCAGCTAGGATCGCACTGTGAAACTAAGCCCAATTAAGCCAGAATCCTGCTGGTACCTGCCGCTACTTACACGGCTTGCCTAGTCAAGAAGCCATGTGCCCACAGTATCCACTAATAATAGACGCCTTTTCTAGCTGACTAGATACAAATCAAGTAGCCTAAAGTACCTGCCACTTTTGGCTGCAGTACCGGTACATTAACTTAGAAAGAGAGACTAGTTTAAAAAGTGGAACGCCGTTTTGCCCGTGACCGTGCAGGGGCACAAGCTATTGTAGCGACGGCCGTTGCGGAGGCTGAAGCCCATATCGTGAGCGCGCGGGAGCGTTTCTGGAGACGAGCAATCAAGATGTGGATCGATGTGCACACACTGCCAGGAACAAATCCGCTCAGCAGGTTGACCAAACGGATCAGAAAGTACTATACGTCCTTTCGATCACCTCTCTACCAGGTGGCAGAGAAATTGAAGGATCTACCGCTAGTGCAACTCGAGACCATCCAGCCATACTCACTGGAACCATGGAGAGAGCATTTACGGGTGTCACTGAGCGACGCGAATGACGGAGTCTGTGCAGGATGGACGCAAGCTGTTTCTGTGAGCTGCTCGTCGAGAAACGGCATGGTTGGTGTTGGCGGAGTGATTGAGACCGAGAATGCCGCAACAGGACAGTCGAAGCGGAAGGTTTTCTCCTTCACCCTGGGAGCGCGAACAGAACAGAACCCATTCTCAGGCGAATTGGCGGCCATGGCGTATGCGTTGCGTAATCTGCCGCACAGCGAGCATCAGAATATCGCCCTCTTCACGCGGAACAAGGGAGCGGTGGCTGCCCTGAGTCGGCCGTATCAGCAATCAGGACAAGAGTTCATCAAATGCATCTACGACTCGGTAGATCAGCTGATTAGCAAGGAGAACACCGTTGCTATGGGCTGGGATTCACCGGACAATAACAAACTGTTGCAAGCGGCCAAGATACAAGCAAAGACTGCAACACAGCAAGGCACGGCACCCGAGGTTCAGTTTCCGCTGATGAAATCCACAACTTTGAACATTGAACGAAGAAAAATTGAAGGTGAACGGTGTTTGCCTGAAGACGTAGGAAAGTTCTCCAAGAAGATTGATGCCGCTCTTCCTGGGAGCCACACACGTGAGATTTACGAGGAATGGTCATGGAGGGAGCGCTCAGCGCTTGCCCAATTGAGAACAGGCATGGCAAAACTGAATAGCTATCTCCACCGCATTAAGGCAGTGACTTCTGAACAACGCGCATGCGGGCACGCGAGGGAAACGGTGGAGCATTTCCTCTTCCAATGCCCGCAATGGAACGAACAGCGAAAAGAGTTGCGAGCAAGCACGAGCACGAGATGGAATGATTTGTCCCTCCGGTTGGGAGGGAAGTCGGCATCGGACGGAGCGAAATGGCAACCGCGCGTGGGTGCAGTTCGAGCGACGATACGGTTTACACTTGCGACAGGACGCTTTGACAACTGAAAGGAAATCAGCCTGGCTCGACATTTTTGCTACACGTAAGGTAGATCAACTTCCCGTTACACAGCGGTCAGCATCGACAGACATGGCTTGTGACGCTTCGGTCGCTGAAAATAGGACTCCGAACACTTGGGGAATTGCCCTCAAGCTAGCTAGTCATCTACAATAAACAAAACTAGATGCGG